CAGCAATACGTAATTTATTACCCAAATCTTATTAATTCACAAAGTTACGTAATAAGTCTCGGTTCTTTGATATTCCAATATTTTCCGCTCGAAGCGCAAAAGTTAACGGTGATCCGTATCTCCTTCCGCTGACTTATTTTCGTCTGAGATCCGCACGGCAACTCTTCTGAAATCGTTCGGTCATCCGGCCGATCCTCAAAGAGCTTTTGATCGATTCGCGAACGGTTCATAAATAGACGCACCATCAAACAGCGTGGACCTTCGAAGCGGCGTTTCTAACGCGAGAAAAAGAAGAGACACGCAAGCTTGGCTAATTACGAGGGTCCCTCTGGCTACCGGGTGCAGTTGGTGCTGTGGCTGCTGCTGCAGTTGCTGCTGTTGCTGCTGCTGATGTTTATCTTCTGGCGCGAGCGATGGGAACCCAAGATGGCAGAGCATCTCCCATTTATTCAGCGCAAGAACCGGTACGCTTCTCTGGTAGGACGACGAGAAAACGACTTGCGGCTCCTGGCCGTGCCTCGGGATATCTGCATCTCGTCCCACCGCCTTTCCTGCGCTCCGAACTGCGGTACGTTCGTAGATTAAAGCCGGTTCCGTATTAATTTCGTGCAGTCTCGTGGCTTCGGGTGCACACTTTGTCTTCCGATTGGTGTACATGCGCGGATTGAAGTCGCACTCCAAGTGCGAGAATGCTATCGGCGACTAGTACAATGGACTTTAACGGTGACACCGCGATTATCTATTTGCCGCGTTCAAGGTAGTTCGAGGATCATCTAACTTACACTAATGATTACTAATTAAAGTATGATTAAAAACAATCGTAAAGGATATGTTTTTTAATTCTATTAAACATGTAAAAAAAAGATCAAGGAAATGTTAAAATTTATGATTTTTTAGAATTAAAAATAACAAGAATTTAATATGAAAGATAAATAGTGTTTCAAAAGAAATAATTAAAGATAATATTTGAAAGCCGGCAGACACTAGGAGACAAAATTTTACTCACAATCAGTTTCAAAGAAGAAATAGCGAGGCAAGATAATATCCAACAATAAGGATATCTAAAATGTTTTATAAAAAATATCTTTCCAAGATTATTACTGCTATAAAAGATGTAGTTTCTTCTTAGAAACACACGATTATTTGGTACGTTTTGCATGTTTGAAAATAGCGGAATTATTATTCAAGCACTCTCTCTCTTTAAAATATATCATTCTATCTAAA